TTCTCCCAAATCTCTTCGCATCCCCGCAGCAAACGGCGCCGACGCATCCATCGCGGCGCAGGCGGCGCAGGCGACGCAGACGCGAGCCAGCCTTGGGCTGCAAGGTCTCCGTGGCCTGGAGCTTCTCCTCCAGCCGCTGCACCGCCGCCTCCCGGCCTCGGTCCTGCCGAGAGTCCGAGAACAAGAGTTCACCGGGGCCGTGACCCCGAAATGGGAGCAGAACTCGGGGGATGTCCGCCAACCAAAGGAGGGGCCGAATAAAGACTCAAACATGGCATGTCTGAAAGGAATTGGAGCAGCATGGGCTGTGTTTTCTTTGGGTTCCCTGATCAAAGGTGGGTTGAGTGTAAAAGCCGGTCCCCCAAATGGCGCCCTTATTCCTAAACCACCCCAAACAGGGGTCCCTCAAGAAAAGACTAAGCCGTGCAGGCTGATCTCTTTTACTGCGATTGTGTGCTTTTTATTATGCACCCGAAAGGGAAGCCGAAAGAAACACAAACTGTGGGATCATCCCCATTATACCGCAGGCGCTTTCCTTTTACTCTATTCAAACCACCATGAAACAAAAACAAGGCGCTAGCATAGCCACAATTAAGTCTACCTACTTAAATTGGGTCAACCCGCTCTTTCAAGGAGAATGCACCCTAGGTTTAGACATAAAAAAAAGGCTCGGTGGGTCTTTTTCTGAGGGCGCAGTACCTTTTTTTGGCTGCTTGAAGGGAAACCGAGGTTCCTCTGTTTCGAGCGGAGTGCTCAAAACTAGGGACGTCTTTTTGGATTGTAGGGCAATCGCCCGTTTCACGGAGTGCCCCGAATATTTGTTTTTATTAATGTGAAATGGACATGATTTGCAAAATGTGACATGCGTCTCTACCAGAGTCACAAATGGTGGTCCCATTCTTGTACCACTCCACATGTTCGCCCCCCAAAAGCTGGTCCACAGGGAAAAAACAGTTTCTGAGATTCAATGGATCAAAGAAGTGTGGGCTCGGACAAACACGCTGCTCCCGTGGGCCTAAAATGACGCTGACTCAGGATGAATTAAAAAGCCCTGAGAGCAACATCCAATAATCCACCAAACTGAGGAATATCACTGGTTGAGGGCCACGGAAGGGCCATGCAGCCAAGCGACCAGTTTGATGAATTGGTCAGGGTCGGTCCAGGGTGGATTGCGAATTAGTTTGGGTTTAGTTCCGCTGGTTTTGGGGTTTGGGGTCAAGGGTCTGTGGTGTCGGGATTAGTATGCAGGGTCAATTCATGGAGACCTCCGGCCCCCCTTGTGCTCCATGTGGGTACGGGTCAAAATTATACCAGGGGACCGCAGGCTTGAGTCTTTGTTTCCATTTAGCAGGGTTACATTTTCTCGGTGGCTTTCTGCTCCCCTGCTAAAAGTTTAACTTTTAGGTTTAATGGAAAACCCATTAGTTGGCAAAAGACAAAGTCCTAACATCCCTTGGCAAAGTGCACCAAAGTCTTGGGTGCCTATTTTTGACAACCACACCCATGCGAATTCTTGTAGGATGCACCTTAGCTTGTTTGGTCCGTCCTGGGCCTGGCGGCTGAGCTGCTTCTCCACCTGGACAGGAAGCACAAATTGGACAGGCTTCGTTATGGGAAACGTGTCAAAATAGGGACCCGCCCCTTAATATAAATAACTAAATAAATAAGTAAATAAGTAAATAAGTAAATAACAAGAAAACAACATAATATGTGGTTTTTTTTTTTTTAAGGTTTCTATGCTGATGTTTCCTGTTGGTTTCATTTTAAATCAAGCTGAAACGGGTTCCCTCAAGGACAAACACCCCCATAGTTCCAACCAGTACACATCACCCGAAAGGAAACTCGTTCAAGCAAAGTTGGCAGCCCAGAAGGCGATGTTGAGAATCTCGGGGGGAAGAATAAAAGAGACACCAGACTTGAAGAGGGAACCCCTCAAAAATGGTTGAACGCCAGTTCATCCCCGTGTCTGATCGCCAAAAGGCTGGGCAAGTCGAAATCGAATTTGCAAGCTTCCCTGGGAAACAAACACGAGCGGCTCGACGTCCTGACGAACCAACCTGCCTGAACGGTTCGATTCCCACGCCAAAACTAAAATCCACGTTAACCCTCCCAACTCTCACCTCCTCAACCCCCTCCCCTCCTGAGTTGGCCGGCGAGAAAAAAGCTTGAAATGCAATTAAGCCTCCCAAAAATCTGCGCCCTGGACATTTTTGGCGGAAGCCTTCAAAAAAAGTGAATCAACAGGGCCCACGATTTTACCACCAGTCACTTGCTGACTTTGACATCCACGCCATACATCAAGACCTCAACTTCTCAACTTCTCAACTCCCTCCTTCTCTTCCAGGCTCTCCATCTGCCGCCGTACCGCCGCCAGCATGGCTCCTGCACTGCCAGTGGCTTCGAAAAAGCGGCACAGTTGGATGCCCAAAGTCCCGCCGCCCCCCCCCACAAAAAAAAAAAAAAAAGAACCTGAGCGAAAAAAGATGGACAAATCCCCCAGAAGTGCCGAAACCCGAGTGACTAGGTTGTCCAGGCGAGCCCACCAGAAAAAAGTGCCCACCTAAGGGGGAAATGAGGGGATTCACTGCAAGGTTGATTTCCGTTTTTTGACACAACACCTGGAAAGGACCCCCGGAAGAGAGGAATGCACTGGACAAGCGGCAAACCGGACCTTCCGAGCTGACACAAGAGGAACAACTTTGTTCCGGATCAAAATGAACCAAAACTCCCAAATGTTTCGCGTCATTGTCACCTCCAGCGTTGCTTTCCCGCCTTCCTCGTGTTTCCCCTTTAAACCGACCTTGCAAGGTCACCGAGCCAAGGCAAGACAAACCCCCAAACCCACAAACCCACACACAGAACCCCCCCCCACAGAACCCCCGGCACCCGGAAGGCCACCCGAACCCCCCCCCCCAAAAAAAAAAAGAACAAACAAACCCCAAAAAATAAGGAGAACAAAACAAGCCGCCGCCTTCGTAGGAGGCCCTTGCCGCGGCGTGCACCACGTTGGCCGCCCGCGCCGTGGCGGCGGAGCCAGTGGACCCGAGGGCGCGGGAGGCGCGGGCCGGGGAGTTGGCGTCGCGGCGCTTCAGCTGGTAGTGCCTCGCTGGAAATTTTCCACGGGGATCCCATTGTGTCCTTTGAAGCAACCAACAAAAGCAGGATCCTTACACCTGAACATTGCCTTGTAAATGGTGGGTTCCAACTTTACTTTGGTGTTGCAAAAGCAACATGTTTCAAATGGGCAAAATTGTATCTTTTAAGGAGCCCTGGACATTAAGGGGAAACACCAGACAAACACCAAACACCCAGGGGAAACGGATCCGGTTTTTCAAAAGAACGATGGTTGAAAAGAATGGGGAGTCAACCGCTAGAATGTTTGGGCATAGGTGTTCTTTTAGGGCAAATAGATGGTTGCCCTGGTAGATGATTCAACCACCAGGTAAACCAGGGCCATCGATTTTTCGATCAAAACAACCAAAAAGGACACCTATGACTCGGAGCTCTGGTTCGATCTTGGCGTGTCCTTCTTCTTTTGAGGCGCGGTACCCCTTTTTTGGGATGGGTTGAAAGTGACATCCAAAAGGAAAACTTTTTTTTTTGCAGGGTCCAACCTTAAAAGGACACACATTACACCGGGGAAGTGAGATATACTGAGATTTGTTCTTCAAACATGAAGGTGGAGGGGCCTCTTCCAGATGGTATTCCAACATCCTGTCCATTGAACCTGGTTTTCAGCCACCAAGCTCTCTCCCGGGCTGGGGACACTTTCGGGGGGTGGAGCTTCAACCAAACTCCGTGAGGTGCGCTTCAGAGGTGAAGCCCGTGCCCCTGTTAGCATGGCTTCAGCGTAGAGAGATGTACCGAACATTCCGCTCGCGGTGAACCAACTCTATTTTCTGATGTTGGAGAGTACGACATAGAACTTGGAGTGCAGGATGATGACTCAAAAACAGATCAGGAGAGCTTTCAGATTCGGCTTGGTTCAAGCCAACCGTGTTAGATATGTCTTGCTAAATGCGACAAGGTACAACAAGCAAAAAGCGGAAGAAAAAAGTCACAAGCCTTTGATCAAGTGGCCAGGGGCTGCTGGGCCGTGCCAACGGCTCCGGCTCCGGCGTGCGAGCCCTGCGGTCCTCCCCCTCCATGGCATCCAAAGCCGCGGATCTTGGGACCGTCGGGCGATTTCGGCCTCGCCTGTCTGTGGGTCAAAACCCTGTACCCCTGGTGAACAATAGGTGGCAGATGGAGCCATAGGTTCTGCAGCCCATGGCCACCTGACTTCGGGCCGGGCTCCGGGAAAACGAGATCGGTCTTCGTGGCTCAAGTCTCGAAAGAGAGCAGTCTGTTCCATTGCCCGGATGCGGAAGCTCTTAGATGCGGGCTGCCTGCTCGAATGTGGTATTTGAAAGACACGTGTCCCCCTCCAAATGCCAAGGGGCTGTGTGACTTCAGGCCCCCAAGTTTGTTTGAGCACCGAAGATATGACACTTGCCCCGAATTCTGAGATCTTCGTACCCCCTTCGCTTCTCATCGGGAGGCATGTCCAGTGTCCAATTCAGCTCGGACGAGCCGGCGAGCGGGCGAGGCAAAACGCGCATCCGTAGTCCGGCCCAACACCTTTCAGCCACACCCTCAGGACTTCGTACCCAAAGCAATCCGTGAATCAACTTTGTGGCTCCTCCCAAAAGGAAGCTCACTTCCTGAGTGGGCCAACAAAAGCCCAAGCTTTCTACGTACCGCTAAAATGGTCTTCCCAAAACCAAAGTCCAGGAACTCACTTGTACAAGGAGCTGGACACAAGCTGGAGACATCAGCGTGAGCGTGTCAAGGAAGGAAGTGAAGGGATTCCAACAAAACTTTCTGGAAGATCATTGCCCGGGGACCCCCCATGTTGGGCTCAGCTTCAGAGTTTCTGAAGTTGGGGGCAACGGAAGGGCCCGGCTTTCTGGTTTCTGCAAAACGCAGTGAGAGCTGCGGCCAATGCCCGAGGGCCATACCTCGAGCTTGTCCTTGAACTTGTCGACTGACCAGACCTGCACCAGGCCCTCACCGAAATCCGGAAGCGGCGTGTGCCAAAACGTGGCAAGTGGAGGTGTATCCGTGTGTCATGCGATCATCTGTGTGTACATACATACATGCATACAGGCGCGTAGGATTTATGCAGGTATGCACGCATGGCTGCAGGGATGCAAGTATGAATGTATGCGGAACGAATAAATGAATGCATACTGTATGAATGCATTTATGTATGTACGTATGCAAGTGTGCCTGGGTGAGTGCGTGCGCATGCGCGCATGTGCGCATGTGCGCATGTGCGTGCACATGTTTGTGCGCGTGTGAATGAATGAATGAATGAATGAATGAATGAATGAATGAATGAATGAATGAATGAATGAATGAATGAATGAATGAATGAATGAATGAATGAATGAATGAATGAATGAATGAATGAATGAATGAATGAATGAATGAATGAATGAATGAATGAATGAATGAATGAATGAATGAATGAATGAATGAATGAATGAATGAATGAATGAATGAATGAATGAATGAATGAATGAATGAATGAATGAATGAATGAATGAATGAATGAATGAATGAATGAATGAATGAATGAATGAATGAATGAATGAATGAATGAATGAATGAATGAATGAATGAATGAATGAATGAATGAATGAATGAATGAATGAATGAATGAATGAATGAATGAATGAATGAATGAATGAATGAATGAATGAATGAATGAATGAATGAATGAATGAGTGAGTGAATGAATGAATGAATGAATGAATGAGTGAGTGAGTGAGTGAATGAATGAATGGAAATGAATCGAATGAATCAAAGGCATCGATGAAATGAAAATGAATGAATCAATGAAAATGAATGAATGAAGAAAGAAAGAATGAATGAATGAATGAATGAATGCATGAATGGATGGATGGATGGATGAATTAATGAAGAAAGGAAGAAATGAAATGAAATAAAATGAATAATTGAATTGAATTGAGTTGAATTGAAATGACATGAAATGAAATGAAACGAAACGAAATGAAATGAATGAATGAATTGTTCGTATGCATGTATGTATGTATGTATGTATGTATGTATGTATGTATGTATGTATGTATGTGTGTGTACGTATGTATGTATGTATGTATGTATGTATGTATGTATGTATGTATGTATGTATGTATGTATGTATGTATGTATGTATGTATGTATGCACGTATGTACGCATGTATGTATTTATGTACTTGTGTATTTATGTATTTATGTATTTATGTTTTTTTCTTTGTGTCTGCCTGTTTGTCTGTCTGTCTGTCTATCTGTCGGTCTGTCTGTCTGTCTGTCTGTATGTATCTATGCGTCTGCGTGCATGTGCGTGCGCGTGTTTCATATTCAAAACATGTGTGTGTGTGTGTCTGTGTGTGTGTGTGTGCGCGCGCGGGCGTCTATGTGTGTGTGTGTGTGTGTGGGTGTGTGCGTGAGCGTGCGAGCGTGTGCGCGTGTGCGTTGTTCGTGTGCGTGTGCAGGGTGTGTGTGTGTGTGCGCGTGCGTATGCAACTACACATATATATACATGCAACTCCCGCCATGGACCCTGGTTTTGCTGCCTTTGGGGGACAGTAAATCTAGAATCTCAAAAATTAGATTCTCAAATTGTCCAATTGTGGGTCCCCAAAGCCTGATAATTTGGAGCCCGGAGTCCTCCATAATGGCCCAATATGAAACCCTTTCCAAATAGGATTTTACTTCAACTAGAATTGGAATTTGGAATATAGTTTAGTAAGGATATAGCTTTCCAAGATGTGGTTATGCTCAATTACAGCTTAAACAAGCAAACATTTCACAAATAGGAGCTACATCAAAATGTAAATATAGTTTCGGGCAAACTCCAACTAATGTTTCAAATTTAGTTAGATAGAAGTCTATTCCCAAATATAGTCTAAGTGATAAATAATCTGATACGAACACAATTCAATTAGCTGTTGATAACAATTACATAGAGACTACTTCTGAAATATAATTCATATTAAATATTAAGGGACTTCTACAAGGAAACTCGAAATGCGATTTGTGTTATTTGCATTCTGGCCCTTTTGTAGCATAAGAAAGGTCCGAAATTGAACTTGTTAGGCGGTGTTCCAAACGGACATTTCAAGAGAAGAGAGGTTCAAACTCTAAAACTATCTCGAAACAGAGATTCTAGCTAAATCTGTTGTATTTAAAGTTATCTTTGCACGGGAAAGACAAAATTCATTCTATCTCAAAAGGTGGAGGTAGTAGATGAGCAAATGTGGACAGGTAGTTCAAGCGGGGGAGGGGGTGACGGTGTGTGAACATACATACATATGTATATATATACACATACATACACACACGTATAGTACCCCTAATGATCCTGCTCCTCTTCGTAAAATACTGTACAACACAATGTTTTTGAGCATTGCACCTACCTTTGCTTACCTCCTGGAAAAGGGTCAACATGAGCATAGCTGACATGAAGCAAACTGCTCACCGAAAGATAGCTTGAACGTGCTTCCACTGGATCGCTACGCACTTGAAAGTATTTTTCCCACAAGATTTATGATTACACAGAAAACTGTCCTGAGAATTGTCAGTCCTGGCCAAACCCAAACAGCATGCAAGTTCTTCCAACGCTTCAAAGTGCTTTACCACTGGATTGAGGATTCAATATTGAGGATTGCACAAACAACAACTTTCCTGAGAATCATCCATCATCCTGGTCAACCCCAAAAAATGTTCAAGTTGTTCTAATTGTTGTTTCACCTATGTATGCATGGCATGCATGTCATATACACATATGGCACCCCCTAAATTTCGACACGAAATCCAAGAAGCAAAAAAGAGGCATGAACCACTGGAAAAATACAGGTCCCGAACCAGGGTCCATGAGGGGCGGTACCATACATATATATACATACATATATATATATATATGTTTGCCTGTGCCGGTGTGTTTGTGTGCATGTATGCATGTTTGCATGTCAGCATGTTGGGATCTTGTGCATCGATGCGTGTTCTCATGTAATTACTCGTGTAGGGATGTGTGCGAGCACATTATATTCCATCACATTGTCGTGTACCACATGTCATTGCTGGCATTACCTCGCATTGAAAGCATTGCCTTATATTGCTTTGCACCATATGATCTTATTTCGATTAATTTGCATGGCATTGCATTGCATACCTTTGAGCTGGTGGAACCCTTGGCCCGCGCAAGCAACTCTGTTTTTCGGCGGTCCAGGTGGGGTTCTCTTGGCTATGGTCTGCTGGGCTCAAAGGAAGGTCACAAGGCATGGATGTTTCTGAAAACTCAGGACCAATTGTTGGATAGCTTTAAAGGGAAACCAAAAGGAAACCACCTAGGGTCCCCAATTTTGAGAAACGCACGTAAGGGAATTCATCGAAACGGAAGGCCGTAAATGTGATGCGCAAAACGACCGATGTGGTCTTTGACTAAGTTCCAACCGGAGTTCCAATTGGCGCATACGGAAACCAAGGAGAACGCAAAGCACTTGGAGTAGTTTTGATCAGCCAGAAACTCGGGGCGCGGGCCGTCACCAGGGGCGCCGCAAGGCCTGCGCATCGATTGAATCCATGAGTTGAGGAACCCGGGCCGCAGTTCATAGTTGTGGGAAACAACGTGCCATCCCTGTGACTTGAAAATTCCCTGAACTAGCCAGTTGTTTTTCAGTCCCTTTGAAGGCACAACACCGTCCCAAAAGAGAACCCCTCCCCCCCGACCCAAGTCATGAATTGAGGAAGCCACGCTGAGAAGTCAAACTCTGGGGACCTTTGGAACGGCTTTTCACGAAGCTAACCTTCTAGCTGGGGCCCTGGATTTGACACTGCGATTGACGTTTCCCTTGGGTCACAGCCAAATGGGCGTGCGCACCCGAGCCACGTGTCGCTGGATCCCGCGCCCTCCCTCATCCTAACTCCTGGGTGTGTGTGTGTGTGTGTGTGTTTTTCAAGGTACCCCTTTTTTGTGGGTTTCAAGAGAATCCGAAAGATCCAACGATCTCCATGTCGTGGGTCCCCTAAAAAACCAAAACGCCCTCCTCGTTTCCCCCGAAGTTCCCAAGAAGCTTGAAGTGGGAAATTGGCTGTGACCGACCAACCCAGACTGAGTTTCCCAACATGCAAGTTTCATGAAAGGCCTACCTGCCAAAAGCTGAGATAGGCGGATGGTCTTTTCTTTTTTCTGTTTTTCGAGGGTACACTTGGTGGCTCGTTTTAAAGGACAACTCAGGGAAAAACCATCAGCGTAAGGATCCCCTACTTTGAAAAGTGCCTTTGAAACTTGAAAGCTTAAGCTGAGTGGGGCCCTCCGTGCATGTCAAGATGAAGGCTTTAGACCTGCTTTCCTGCTGGCCCTTCAAAACAATCCCCAAACTTCGGACGGCCAAATGGTCACTGCGGCAACTCCTGATTGGTGGTTTGGATTGTTGGTTTCGGGATTTGAACCCCTGGCTTTTGTGGAGGGAATTGGGAAACCATCCCTAGCTACCAAACCACCAATCCAAACCACCAATTAGAGAGAAGCCGAGCCACTGTCCTTTTTGGCTATGGCGCGAAACACCTGCAACCCAAACTTTCAACCCGACTGGCTCACACAGTGTCCAATCACTGGGTAGCCGCTCTTGAAATCTCACCGAATCGAAGCACGGGAGAGCGCCCGGAAGAGCTACGAAAGGGGTCTCCCAACCTCCGCCACGCCGAAAAAAGCGGGCAACACACACACAGTGAGCTTGAGCAATATACCCTCTTCTTTTGGGATTAGAGATAAAAAATGAAGAACAAAACCCGCCCCCTCCCCCCCCCAAAAAAAAAAAACAAGAACAACCCCCCCCCCCCAAAAAAAAAAAAAAAACACAAGAACAACCCCCCCAAAAAAAAAAAAAACACACAAGAACAACCCCCCCCCAAAAAAAAAAAAAAACACAAGAACAACCCCCCCCAAAAAAAAAAAAAAAAACAAGAACAACCCCCCCCCCCAAAAAAAAAAAAAAAAAAAAAACACAAGAACAACCCCCCCAAAAAAACAAAAACACAAGAACAACCCCCCAAAAAAAAAAACAAAAAACACAAGAACAACCCCCCCCCCCAAAAAAAAAACAAAAAACACAAGAACAACCTCCCCCCCCCAAAAAAAAAAAACAAGAACAACCCCCCCAAAAAAAAAAAAAAACACAAGAACAACCCCCCCAAAAAAAAAAAACACAAGAACAACCCCCCCCCCCAAAAAAAAAAACAAAAAACACAAGAACAACCCCCCCCCCAAAAAAAAAAAAAAACAACCAAGAACAACCCCCCCCCCCAAAAAAAAAAAAAAAAAAAAAACACAAGAACAACCCCCCCCCCAAAAAAAAAACAAAAACACAAGAACAACCCCCCCCCCCCCAAAAAAAAAAAAACACAAGAACAACAAAAAAAAAACAAAAACACAAGAACAACCCCCCCCCAAAAAAAAAAAAAAAAACAAAAAACACAAGAACAACCCCCCCCAAAAAAAAAAAAAAAAAAACACAAGAACAACCCCCCCCCCCAAAAAAAAAAACAAAAAACAAAAAAAAAACAAAAAACACAAGAACAACCCCCCCCCCCCCCAAAAAAAAAAAAAAAACACAAGAACAACCCCCCAAAAAAAAAAAAAACACAAGAACAACCCCCCCCCAAAAAAAAAAAAAACACAGAACAACCCCCCCCCCCCCCAAAAAAAAAAAAAAAACACAAGAACAACCCCCCCAAAAAAAAAAAAACAAAAAAACACAAGAACAACCCCCCCCCCCCCCCAAAAAAAAACAAAAACACAAGAACAACCCCCCCAAAAAAAAAAAAAACAAAAAACACAAGAACAACCCCCCCCCCCCAAAAAAAAAAAAAAAACACAAGAACAACCCCCCCCAAAAAAAAAAAAACACAAGAACAACCCCCCCCAAAAAAAAAAAAAAAACACAAGAACAACCCCCCCAAAAAAAAAAAAACACACAAGAACAACCCCCCCCAAAAAAAAAAAAACACACAAGAACAACCCCCCCCAAAAAAAAAAAAAAAAAACACACAAGAACAACCCCCCCCCAAAAAAAAAAAAAAAAACACAAGAACAACCCCCCCCCCCAAAAAAAAAAGAAGAGCCCCCCGCCTTGCAGCGTCGCCTCCGAATGGTCCAGCTCTGCGCCTGCGGTAGGTGCCCGAGTCCCCCAAGGACCTTCGTCCCAAAGCCAAACAGGTTCCCAAACCCAAAGGGGTCACACCCAGCGCCGAGACCCAAAGGAAATGAATTGGAAAGGATCACCTTTTGGGGTAATGAAAAAGGTTATTTCGGCTCGATTCGCTTTGGGCTCGGCATATGGATATGGATTTTAACTAACCCCCAAGGCTGGACAGCAAAATTCAGCGGGGATCGACGTCCACCAGTTTTGAAGCGGTTCCCCGATGAATTCATGGCCATATCTTAAATCACGTTACCGCATGTGTGGACCCCCAAAAAATCCGTGCCAATTGAAGAAGGCAGAAATTCGTGGGAAGGCCCCCAGTCGTGGTAGGGAGGGTATTGGCACAAAGGGCATCCTGACTTCAAGCGATAACATGGCCCCCCTCACGTCAGCAAAGTCCAATGTCACTTGGCGACACCACGCCCGAAACCCCGAACCCCGAACCTCGAACCCCGGATACCATCCCAGGGCGTATCAAATTGAACGGTTTGTGTGCAAGCCCAAGGAAGCGGCCCGCTTTGCCATCTGCGAATGAAAAATGAGAGAGGCGCGGCGCAGGGGCTCCAACCCCAAAATCCCACTTGCTTAGGCCTTCTTCATATTCTACGGCTCTTCTTTCTTCCCCCTTGGTGTGCACCACCCTCTTCCAGTCACGTGTCGCCCGCCTGGGCCCTCGCGGAGGGCGACGACGATCTCAGGCTCATCCGGCCTACCGGACCGAAGAGGTCGGGAGGTGCGTTGCTTCGGCGGAGGGGTTTCTTGGTGGTCTGAAAAGCTGGAGCTTGGTGGGGACAGCCGAGCAAAAACGAATCATAGACACAGATGGGCATGCCTCTTTTTTGGGACCCCCAAAATTACGGTTTTCCTGGTGGTGTCCACCAAAAAGGGGGTGCCGAGGCTCAAAAAAAGACAGAGATTGGCAACATTCACCATCTTCTCGCGTCCCATGCAGCACCCAAAAAACTACGACTGCTGGCCGCTGGCTCATAAAATCCACTTTTGATGAGGCGCCTTGGGGAACCCTCCAGTTCCCTGAGGTTTTGTAGGGCTCACCCGGCTTCCCACCCCCTTCAGCCCCACCTGCCCCCGCACCTGTCGGAGGCGCCGTCCGTGAGCCCACGATGAAGCACCTCCGCATGGAAGACCTGGAAAACGGTCCGCGCGGATTTCGCGTATGCCAGCCGGCGGTTTGCTTTGGTTATTGCCCTTTCTTTGAGGGCTGCCCTTGTTGGAGGGGAATTGTAAAGGGAAACCAACAGGAGCCAACTTCCTTTTGGAGTGGTTTCAAAGGGAACCAACGGGAACCAACTTCTATCCTTTTGGGGTTCACCTAGATTGACACGAACCAATTCATGTGTTTCAGTGCGTTCTTCGGTTTCGGGCATCCATTCACGAGCTGGGTTCTCCGCGTGCTAGCCCGCTCAAGTGCGTTCGCTCACTGCACAAACGCCTGCCACATGAGAAGAACCCCCGGCTCAAGCGCACTCTCTCTCTCAGCACTTCACACAAGTGATAACAACCCTGGCAGCTGCCCGCGGGGATATGTAGACATGTGTATGTATGTTTATATATATATATATGTGTATCTACAAATTTATATGTAACAAATGTGTGGGATAGGGGAAAAAGAAAAAAAAACGGCCAACCTTCTCAGCCCCGGGCCATCTGCTCTCCCCGCAGCTCCCGGGTGATGTCCGTAGCCTCCTCCAGCAACGGCTGCAGCTCCTTGCGATTCCAAGGCGTCCGACTCGAGACCTTTGCTGCTGAAACCTCACATCGAAGAAGGGAGACGTGCACTCTGGACCTGCAAAAGGGTCTCCCCTCTTGGGGATCTCTGGAACCCTCCTGGAACCCTCCCTGAAAGCTGCCCCAAACCTGGGCAGAGACCCCATAGGCCCCATAGCTTGCAGCGGCTGGGGAAAAAGAACTCCCTATGTTTCCGAGAAGTCTTCAACTTGGACTCTCTGAATGGAGGAACCAGTCCTTTTTGTTTGTTTGTTTGCGACTCCGTGTGAGAAACTTGCCGTTATTCTTCCCCCTTGACTCCCCGCGGTCGAGGGACACTTTCTGTTTGGGAGGTTGTTTGTTTTCTTTTTTGTTGTGCTTGAAGGAACCAGCAGACACAAACCAATGGTTTTCGAACCCAAATGACGACCCGCAGATGGACAACATTATGCACCTGGGATGGGTAAAACCCTATGAACACCGGGAAAAACCACCTACCAACCGTCGCAGCCTCTTGTCCATCCACAGTATGTATTGAGGGACACCACAACCCCAAAAAACAGGGTTTTCAGCGAACCAAACAGACACCCTATGAGGGTATGTTAGGAATCAACGAGAAAGGTTCCTGCAAATGAGCAACCACCTCTTGGTTAGGTTGAACAGCATGCCGGGCGTCGCTCCCATCGAATTTTGATGCCCTGCCTGCACTGCCGCCACCTCATTCGCGCAAACGACGTCACGCGGGAAAGTCAGCTTGGCCCAGTTCCGGGCTGTCCGTTTTCTGATTCCCGACGAAACCTTAACTTTTAGCGGGGCTTAAAGGGAAATCCTAAAACCAAAAACCTAAAAAACCAACTAAAAAACCCAACTATAACCAACTAAAACACCTTAAAAACTAAACCAACTAAAAACCTAAAAACGCCAAAGGAAGCGGATGGCTGGGAACCACCAAGCTAGCAGGATGCCGGGATTTCGACGAGCTTCTTCAAGAGGTGGCCGATCCGGACGTACGTAAATTGAGCCTTTGACTGTCTAGCGTACACCTCATAGCGTGGCCGCCTGCCACAAATCTCGGCGTGTTTCTTCGAATGCAACTTGGATGCAACTTGGATGCAGAGCACGAAATAGGGATTCAAAATGTGTGCTGGTTCAGGAAACTTCCACAACTCGGATTGGCAACCCCAAAAAAAATTGGGGTGCCCCAAATGCAACCTTAGCAAGGCTTGTTGCCGTCGGGAGAAGGGGTTGTAGGGTCCCTGATCTGAACAGCCCCAAAAAACAGCACTAAGCTAGCGGACCTCCAAGGTAGGAAACTTCCTTCGTCACGGGGTCGGTCCTTTTGTCAGGTCGAGCTCATAGATTGGGGGGGGGGTGAGGCGGTGGGGTTGGTTGACCCTGGCGCGCTCGGCAAACAAAACTGGGCTCTTTGGCCACTGCAGCCGCAGTGTCTCCGAACTCCGCCTGGAAGTGGCGGTCGCGAAAAGCAAAGAACTGGAAGGTGAAGCAGATACATGAATAGTTCTACATCTTTCAAGAGCAACCGTGGAATGTAGGCGGTATATTGAAAGTGGCTGTTGAAATGGGGCCATGAACCAGGGAACTCAGAACTCAGGGCCCCATAACCATCCATCCCAAGCACCAAGGTCGCCATTGCTAGTGACACCTACGAATGGACCCAGGAAAACGAGTTGTTGGTGACCTTGCCAGGTTGGTAAGGATGATCACCAAAGCTGTCCGCAGCCCACAGCAGTGTGGTTGCCTCCCGTTTGAACACCCCCAGGATGGTTGACAACCCAAATGGATGTCTCTCCTAAACGGAGTTCACTTCACAGAAAGAGGAATCCCATCTTCTAACCAAAAATCCAAATCCGCCCCCCGAGGTTTGCCTATTCACAAGACTCTGTTTGGTGGAAATGGAGGGAAACCTCATTTGCAAGAACCCCACTGTGGATGGACAAACTATTGCACAACTACAAGTGGTTGTCCGTCTTTTTCAGCAGGTTTCATTCATCGCACCTGGGGTGAAGTGGATTTTGTCAGCAATTCCCAAACCAGTGGGGCTCAATACAAAAGACACTGCGCAGCTAAGCGAGAAAGAAACGCAATGCGCCGGAAAGCTGTTACTAAGATGAAGCCTGTAAATGCTGGAGAGGCATCCGATACTGACAGTATTAGCAGTAGTAGCAACAGCAGCAGCAGCAGCAGCAGCAGCAGCAGGCGCGTGTGTGTTTCTTTGGTGTGTGTGTGTTTTGCTTTTGAGGCTACCGGCTAGAGTGTTCACCAACGGGTTGAGAGGGACACGGGAAGGAACAAACAAACCCCGTTTAAGGTCCAAATCCCTGAAAACTGGGCAAACTACAAGCAACCACGGTGAACCGAGCACACACACATATCAAAGAAAACAAACAAACAAACAAAAGCAAACAAACAAAACAAAACAAAACAAACAAAGAAACAAACAACCACACGCCCGCACGCCCGTTGGCACGCACGCCTCCAAGTCCTCCACAAATCCCGTGGGCAGATTCACGGCAGGGCCTCAGAATGGCTCAGCCCTTGAGGACAAGGGAAACCCGAAAAAAATTGTCGGTTGGTTTACTTGCAATACTCGATGAATCAGCTGCAAGGTCAAGCTTGAAATCAACCGTGGAGCCAAAATGAATAGGAAAGGTTCCCAAAGTTCAAGGATGCTCCTCATGATTTACCCCGCTGGTCATCGATCTCAAAAGTCCGGGATCAAGTAAATCGCATCATGAATCCATCGGAAGCCCGAAACGTCATCTTTGGATGCCATACCTTACATGCGTTGACCTCGCAAAACGACGGCCTTCGGGTTTAGGGTTTAGGGTGCTTAGTTTTAATGGCCTGCAGAATGAAACTGGCCCCTTTTGCCGACCCTTCATCAAGGCACTCAAACGCTGGCGCAGTCGAAAGGGCCATCACTGAATTACCGCCGTCAACCACATGCCCGGTTTGGTTGAACACTCCGTCTACTAGCCTGTAGTGCGCCGTACAAGCCCATTCGGAGTTTCCGAGGCCAGCATGCACATGTGGTTTAATTTCAATATGCGCCCATGTTGCGCGTGTGAATCGATCTTTATGTATACATACACATATCCGCCGGGCCTGCTTAGGAGCGTGCGAAGGCGGGGCGGCGCCTGGGATACTGAAGGTTCCATCCTCATTTCTCGCTGCGCCCTGGCCGGGTTTTCCGACCTTGCTGCCGGCGCCCTTTCTCGTGCGCCTTTTGCACCAGAGCAGGGCGCAGAGCAGCGCCCTGGCCGTGCCTTGGCTGGTCTTCCGCGCGGGTTTCGATTTTCGCCGCGCCCTTCACCAGGCCCTCACTCGTCTTGCGCGCGGGCTTCGACCTTGCTGCCGGCACCCTCCGAGCTTTGGGGCTTGCTGCCGGGCTTGGCTTCATGCGCGCAACAGCGTGCACGATCGGCGCGGCGCTGATGCACACGTCCGCTTCAACAAGTGCTGGACACGTGGGCAGTTGCACACGCACGTGTTGCTCGCGTTCGTTCCTTCCGCTGAACCTTCCGCGACGGCCCTTTGTTGTTGTGAGCCGCAGCCTGACTTCCACAACGAGACGCCGGCGTTTCAGCTCTGCTGCACTTGGACTAGGCCTGCACCGTCGCAGCCGCGCGCGCCAGGCTGCTCTGCTTCAGTCTCGCGTCGCAAACTCCATTTTGGGCGCACTTGGCCTGCGACTCCGTCACTTCTGAAACGCCTCGATCTCTCGCCGACCTCGACACGTGTAACAAGTCCAGCTTTTGCAGCTTTGCGCAACTTGCGCAGAGCCGTCTCTTGTTGCGCTGCTCCTTGCAGAGGCTGCAGCCGTCACACACGCGCCGCGTCCTTTTACTTCCAAGCCTTGCGCGCTTCGCCTTGCCGTGGCTGGCTGGCTCCTGCGCCACACACACATTGGCCGCAGACTGCGTCTCCATTGCCTTGCTGTATACACTGCGATTGTCTTGTTGCTTGCGGTACTTGACGCAGACCCTTTCCTCCCAGTACTTCGCACGAAGCTTGGACCAGTCCCCGTGCCAAATACGAGCCTCCAAGATCTTGGTCGCGCCGTTGTAGCCACACTAGTTCTCTTGGCCCAAGTCTGGCTTCTCTTGCCGCGCAGCGCTAGAGATTGTCCACGGCAATTGCGCTTCGCAACTGCTGGCCATGCTTCGACGCCCCTTCATTCTTGGGCATGCAATTTGTTCACGTGGTATTTTACAGCGTTTGTTGCAAAGATCCTTTTCTTTGGTTGCGTCGCACTGCATTTCAGGACCTGCCGGTTCCAGGAGCACTCGCGCCTTGGACGCTCATTCTCCTGCGCAGGTGGCACACTCCAGCGCGCAAACGCGGTGCTTCTCACACTTGCCTCTTGCATGCCGGGTTTTCGCACTCCAGCGACGACCCTGACCAGCTTTCTGGCACACTTGTAAAGGAACGCGTGGTTGTCAGCTGACAGCATGCCATCGCGAATCTATTGCTGCAGGTTCTGTAACCTCTTGTCCTGAGTTTGCTCGCATCGCTGTACCGTGGACTCTACACTTACTCTTGCCCACAAACCGTGCGCGCCACCTTCTTGGACTTCCCGTTGGTCAACATGTCCCACGGCACGTCCCCCAAACAGGCATGTCGCGGAGGAGGCAACTGCCACAAGTCTACCGCGTTGAGAAGCTCGTATGGGCGAGCGTGTGCGCTGTCCCTCCCACACTTGCTTTGGCACGCGCTCGCGGCATCGCAGCTCCCGCACTGCCAAGACCTCTGCGCGAACTCTGCGCGAACGCTGATCGTCAATGATCGGCCAGCGCTGCTGCAAGGCTTTGGCGCTCAACTCCAAAATCCTGTGGGCACTGCGTTCCTCCTAACCCATATGCCCACTAAAAACACCAAAAAACTGGCAATTGCCTGAAAACTGGGAATTGACTGGGAAAATCGCTCTTGCAGAGGCTTGCGCCTGGTTGAGTCAGGGTTCGAACGAACAACAGGCAAATCCGCAAAACCAAACCCCCAAACTGCGTGCCCCAGCCCTCGGCACGCGGCACGGACGCAACTGTCCGCTGTGCTGTGAGCCCAGTAGACGACAGGCGAGTGTCCATGCGGAGTACTGCCAAAAAATTGGGGGTTGACGGCATACAGTCGCTAGCCCATTCTATACGCGTCTATCATGTGTGTGTCTGTGTCAGCGTCAATACGTATGACTTGGCGGATGACCTCAATTTGGCAGTATGGGCCGACCCCAAACGAAGAGTGGTTGTTTTTCTACACCATTCGCCTTCCTATTCCTCCATGTACTTAAGTCCATTTGTAAGAAAATCTATAAACAATGGCTACAGTAGTGAAATCGACTCCCTGTAAGAAACCAACTGTGGAAAATAGAAAAACAAAAATAACAATAATAATATCTGCTTCATTTCAGCAAATCCAAGTTCGGGGGCCTTTCTTTGGCTCCCCGGCGCTCTGGCTTGGAGCTCATCCTGGCAATGAGAGGCTGGCTTCGAACTCGACTCATCCCTGGCGTGGACTCCAGTTCCTGGATTTCAACCCCAGCATTATACACCTGAACATTGCCTTGTAAATGGTGGTGTCCCTTGATTTTGGTGGAAAAAACAACATGATTCAAATGGGCACAATGTATCTTTTAAGGAGCCCTGAACAGCCATGGGATCATCCCTGGCAGCAGACGCTGGGACCAGTCACCGGACTTCCCCAAATCGAAAGCTGATGGATCCATCTGGCGTCCATTGAAACGATCGATCCACTTTTGGAACCCGGTTTCCGAGACAAATAGCGCGGAAACCCGTTCGACATGTCCCCCCCAAAAGTGTAATTCCCAGTTTGACATGGTACACCCACAAGCTTCCGGGTGACTTCACTGTATGGCTGCATTCGCCAATCTGGCTTTGCTCTACGCTTTTGGGCGCCGAAGAATCCGCAAGACTCGATCCCTGGACCTTTGGAGCATCGGAGCGGTCGATGCGTTGCAGCTGTCGCGTCCGTGCGCAGATTCCGTTTCGTGCCGTAGCAGCTGCCCTCGTCAAGTTGCATTGCAACTCTGGGCCCTTCTTTAATTTAAACCTCTTTGTGGCCTCAATCCATGCAAGGCTCAGCGCTTGCTACACGCCGGCCTTCTGCCCAGTGCCCAAAATCGAGTTGAGAAGGCCAGCTGATGGAATCTACGGCGGAAGACACTTTTGGCTGAAAACCTTGTTGCCGGCGCTGCCTGTGCGAATCGGAACCCTGAACCGGGGGCATCTGGGGTTCCAATCATGGCTGAATCAATACCATGCGACTGCGCGAGGTGGGCTCGGGCCTGTGCGGGGTCCCAGACTTGGCATCGCGACGCGCTAGGCAGTTCTCTTTTAAGGGCGGCTTACGGTGGGTTTCGGGCGCAGTTGCGGGTGGTAGGCTTAGGGTTGGCTTTTTGAGGGCTCGCTTAGGATGGGCTTGCTTAGGATGGGGTTACTCTTGGATGCGCTTAGCCTACAACTCGAGGATTGTTTGGGGGTAGGGTGACTTTGGATTCGGTGCGTTGCTTTTGGTCCATGGCTTTGGGCCCCGTTCACGGCTTATTTGGGGCTTGCGGTGTTCTGAATTTAAGGATCTGGGAGCACATCTTGCTTTGAACCATCGCTGTTTTTCCCTATTGGATTTCTGCGGGGGTTTGCACTTTCCAACTGGTTGACCAGCTGATCAAGCTGACCCAGTGAGTGAGCGAACCATTGCATTTGTTGTTCTGAAATCACATTAAGTTGTTTCCCCATGATTTTCTTTTGGCTTTCTACGTTTCGCACTTTCCCTTTATTAGGGTTTACTGTTGAATTTGAACAACTTGTACTTTCTAAGAACGCAAATACGTGTTTGAACGCTTTGCTGGGCCTCTCACCCTGCCTAGCCAGCTGGAAAGTGCGCATCAAACACACCCTTTTGCCAAACGCCTCGCCTCACGTTGGGCGGCCCCAGCAGCTGGAACCTCGAGAAGAACCGAGCGGCGGCCACGGCAAACTGTGAAGGGGGCTCCCAACTGTTTTCTTGGTGACGAGATGTGCCCAAATCAAAGATTGATCAATTTACTGGCGGTATCTCTTGAACCGATTGCCACTTTTGGAGGTGCCAACCAAGGAAGTGGCTCGGAAACCCGGTGACCAGCCACTTGTGACACGGTTCCACTGCCCGTTCTGGTGACCGTTGAGGTGCCTTGTCACTAGATGGAACGTCCACTATGTGCCCAGAAGCACCATTCTCAGGGCCGTTCAGTCGGACCTCCAATGTTCATACCCAGTGTCGCGATAGAGGCAAAGGGCCCAAGCGGCCAAGCGGCCCAAGCTTGGACACCCCCCTGATGGATATGTAACAGCTCCAGGAAAGGCTTCGACTTCTTTTGGGTCCAAGTACCATGCAACCAAACAGCCGACCTAAGGAATCATTGGGTGGGAACCAAGGAGTCGAGATTTGCTCGGCCCCTCTGAGATCCTCTTTGCACGGCTTCCTTTGAGCCTTTGTGGGAGCCGTCAGACCTCATGTGTCTCTCAACAAAACGTGGCTGGCTTTGGCTTGCCATTGGAATTCACCAACAGGCGGCCCACACCCATATGATCTCCTTGCACTCACAGGAGGCAACAGCCATGCAGGGGCAGGGCCATCCTTGGTCGCCCGAAGGACCAGAAAAACTGCCACAAAAAGTCCGTATCTGAATAGAGCCCTGAAAAAAAGCACATTTTGGATTGGCCAGAGGACCCATCCAGCAATTTTGTCCGGAAATTGCAAAACCAGCCCAATGTTTTTGGCCTCCCGAGCACTCCTGAAACAATTCCCGATCATCGGCGCAGTCAGTGCCAAGGCACATGTGTCCGTGGCCAACCTGTAGAACATCTCCATGCCTGAAGGCGGCAGAAAAAACAAAACGGGCTGAGATGTGACCCAACTCAAACCAAACTTAAACCAAACCTAGGTCCTCCAGTAGAGAGGTTAGAATAAGGGTACCAACTTTTTAACCAACGACCAAACGGAAACGAGACCAAAACCCAACAAACCTGGGTTTTTCTGATCCCCCACTAAAAGTTGAGAACTTTTAATGGGTTAAATGGAATCTACCACTAAACACTAAAAGGCGAAGATTCTAAGGAACCGGATGGCTGGGAGCCGGCGAGAAACTTGAACCAAACCAACGCGAGAAATCGAACCAACTTCAGGGTACCAACTTCTTTCTGCAGTCTATTTTAGTAGGGGAACCCTCGCCCAAAAAAGGGGTAAAGAGCGGCATCTAGCTGGGGGACCTAGAAACTTAAACATCTTAAACCAACACAATATAAGCGGTTGCCCAGCGGCCATGAAAAAACTCCTCTGGCTTTTCCTTTCAGAGAGCCGCCAGCCTCCCCAAAGGATGCATGCAGTGCGTGTTCATTTGGCGGTGCCAAATGAAAACATCCAATGGCACCCTGGTAAATGTAAATAACGACTAAAACCGTAACCCTAGCTCTTTGACTTTGAGCCACACCCATCTCACTGCCAGGTGTGGGTTTCCCAGCTCAGGCATAAGGAGGAGAACGCAACCGAGGGACGGCTAGGGATCCCTTCGCGCACTGGAATGCGCCGGCTTCAGGCGCAGATAAAAACAAGGAAAGAAAAAAACAAAAAAGAAGAAGAAAAACGCGCACCCAGCTTGTCCAAATTCCGGACCTTGCTTTAGATCCCCTTCCCGCATAACATGGCACCGAGCCGGTGCCGAAGCCTATGTAAAAACATCCCTCCGCAAAATCCATCCCAACACCAACAGCTGTTCTACTGAACCCTCATGAAAGCGGCCACTACAGCCGCTGCTCTCTCAGGTCTTGGAGTATTTTCAGCATCCCCCCAAATGGACACCAAATCAATGGCTTCGCACGTCGAACCCGGTCTACTTCAGCTGCCATTTGAAGTCTGATGACGGGCTGACATGATGCTAAGCTTTAAGGATACAAACATCTCGTCAGCAGAAACGAAACTATCCCATGAACACCATGCAGCTGGGGGAGATCTGAAAAAGGGCCACTTTTGCTTTCACTGCCAATGGGGTCCATAGTTCCCACGTTTGAGATGCTTTGATCGCTTCTTGGAGGCAAGCAAGCACTCTCCAGGCGCTCGGCTGTAGGACTCCGAATTCTTGGATTTGACGCCCGTTGACCAAGACCTGGCAAAGCTTGAATGTCTCACGAATGAAAAATTCGATAACATGTCTCCATGAGGGATGTGGTTGGACTCTCGACGACCGGTGGCAGGGTTGATGTGTCTCACACGCCTTTGTCTCTCCAGATGTCCGAAGCTTCCTATGGCCTATGGTCTCTGGTCTCGAGACAACGAAGGAGAGGAGGCTACTCCTCAATCATGGAAATAATGCGATCAAAGCGAGAAATGATGTCAATATCATGGCAGATGGAAATACGAGAAGCAAGAAAGTCCTCCGCAAGCAGAGGAGAAGCATGAACAAAACACTTGGCGTGCCGCAAAGGAAGCGTCTCGCGCTGGCGCTTGCCACACGAGTACCCTCGCAAGGCAAAACGAGACAGAAACGTCCCAGGGCGTAGCCCAAACATGGCGGTGCAACATCTCCCCCGCAGCGCGAGTCCAGTGACAAGCCATTTCGTCTTCGCTCCCTTAAATTGCAGAATACCAAGGTGCAGGCATTTATGAATCCATGGCACGTCAGCCAAAACTCAAGGGGGATCGACTCAAAACCAAACTTTCTCTCTCTGTCCTTGATAACCTTCACAACATACGGACCCGAAGGGTCGGGAAGAGGCGGAAGTGTCCTATCGTTCAAGAGCATTTCGAGCGGAAAAATGTCAGGCGCAGGGCCTTTCCGTCGGCGAGGACGAAGCAGATGCTTGTAAACATCCAAAGTTCTCCAAAGAGAAACTTTCTGAGTTCAGTCATCAACAAGAACCTGGATGCGATCAGAACGAGGGCCATGTGCCCCATAGGCTTCGGTTTCCCAAATCTGACGCATGGCAACCACGAAAGACCCATCCAGGCATCAGGAGGACCCGAGACAGCCCGCCTGAACGAGAGAATCCCGGATGGTCATGGCCCCCATCCCATGGGAATCAGAGTAATGGTTCTCAAAATTTTGTTCAGTACCAGGCGGAGGACCATACCGGTCTTTTGACCATGGCACATGTGCTGCCATGGTCGGCTTACCTCGTTTCCGCGTTGCTGCAGCATGGAAAGCCAGACAAGCAGATGCACGGGATGGACGGACAGGCAGGCACGCAGGCAGGCAGACAGGTAAGGAGACAAACGAAACAACCAACCAACCAACCAACCAAGCAAACAACCAACCAGCCAACCAGCCAACCAGCCAACCAGCCAGCCAACCAGCCAGGCAACCAACCAGCCAGGCAACCAACCAGCCATCCAACCAGCCAACCGGCCAACCAACCAGCCAACCGTTCCGGTACCCAAAGGTGGAATCATCCGAGTACAAGAGACAGAGAGAGAGAGAGAGTGTGTGTGTGTGAGTGCAAAACGAATGATCAGAAAAGGAAAAGTCGAAAAAGAGAAAGAATGCAAGAACGTGAATATTAGGACTTGAATGAATGGAATGGAATGGAATGGAATGAAATGGAATGAAATGGAATGGAATGGAATGGAATGAAATGGAATGGAATGGAATGGAATGGAGGGGAATGGAGTGGAATGAAATGGAATGGAGAGAAATGGCATGCACAAATGAATGGAATGAACGAAACGCATGCATGGAATGCATGGAATGCATGGAACAAAATGGTATGACATGAAATGAAATTGACATGAAATTGACATGAAATGGCATGAAATGAAATGAACATGCAATCCGTGAAATGAATGCAATGACATGATGGACATTCTATAAAGAGATTGATGAAACCATATCAGGTGTCCGATTCGCCGATGCACCACCGGCCCGCCTTGCCAGCCCCCTGCTTGAAGAGCGCCCCTTGCCTGCCATGCGGCAGAACGCCAAGAACCCTTCTGCCAAAACACGAGTTTGAAGCAAAGCCAACATCAGGTGTAATCAAAACCGATCGGTATCAACCTGGTCTGCCCAGAACCACGCACTGTAAAGAATTTCAAACAAAGACTCAAAAAAGGCGGCGAACGCACCCATTTGTGGTTGGGATTATCCCTTAAGCTTCATCTACCCGCGTTTGAAGACGTGACTCACATGAATGATTCGCCAACCATTCGAAGCCTGGGGGAATAAAGAATACAAAATAAATAATCTACAGGAAAATATTAGATATTTATTAAAAAAGGGGAAACAAAAGAAAGAAGAAGACAAAAAAAAGAGATGTCTCCCTCGCTTCTAACCGTGTAATCTTGGATGAAGCGAGGTCAAGGGTTACATCTCATTCCACATCTCTATCCCGCTCCTTTCCATCGTGAGCGGTAGGGATGAGATAACATAAGGAAAGGATATGGAAAGAGATATAGAAATGTGCTTCCAGACCCTTTCACAGCTTGGGGGTTAACATTGGTTGAGAGCTGTGAATGAAGGGACAGCAAACAAAAGGCTTTTGGTGACATCTCTTTATTTTCTCTGTCCCGTCCGGTAGGCAAATGCAAATACCTTTAGCATGACAACTGAATCTAACATTTGCAGGTCAACAACTAGCACTACTAGAAAGCGAATTGTTGGTAGTTTAAGAATCATCACCAGAAAAGTTACATGGACTGTTCTTCCTGCAACAAATGCAAGCATTTAGCTGGGACTAGGAAGAGTAACACTCTGTCGGCACAACTGGCCCACATGATTTTGAGGGCTAGTGGTTTGCCGCCGATATTCTTTCGGAACAGCTCAGTGACAAAAATGGTATGCGTGTCAAAATGGGAACTTCCTGGGTTTCTCTTTTGAATTTCCTTTCAAACCAACCTAAATGGGCTTGGAGTTGGTGACCTACCAAATCTGCAAGAGCTAGTCTTTGCGGAACGTCCTCGCGGATCTTTTCCCGCTGCTCTGCAGCTCCGTTTCACCAAAAGGACCGCCTCATTTCTGCGGTCCAGATCCCGGTCTCCCAGCTTCTTAACGCATCATATTGAAGCCAGAAAAAACGACTCCTGGGACCTGTCTAGTTGCGCAAAGCGCGACTGACTCGGGGTATGAATTTCACGGACCTGACCTGAGTCATCTTGCGTGGTTCTACCCCGCAACGAAGTCGCGATACATTCCTGCATCTCAACATGGAACCCATGTACATAACTGAGGCTTTCCGGCGTTCGGACCCCTTTTCGAGGTTCTTCAGTCGTTTTCTCCGGGATGCCATTCGTACAAATGCAGCGTGCGCTCGGTTTCCCAACAACGGCCTCGTTGGCCTCTCCCAAGATCCGGCGGCGTTGTCGCTCACCTGGCAACGGGTTGACGGAAGCTCCGTCTGACGTTGTTTCTTGTTTTTTTTCTCCGGTCCTTTGCAGAGATCTGGTTCAGCAACACGGCCCTGCCAAGTGAAACTTGAAACTCAACGCCGGCTAGGCAGAGCACTCGTAGAGTTTTACCGGTGTGTGCAAAGGATAAACGCCTGCCTCAAGCCAGCTTCAGTTCAGGTGCTCTCCCAAAGATCGTGCCAGCATCTGCGTTCCATTGAAACATGTCTTTGTGCCCTCTATGTGATGCAGTTGCTTTTGCCTCGTAGTCTGTGCTCTTTTCTGCCCTACCCCCGTTTTTTCGGCAATGTGTGTGTGCGTGTGTGTGCGTGTGTGTGCGTGTGTGTGTCAGGTGTGTGAGTCATGTGTTCACGTTAGTTTGAGTATCTCTCTCTCTCTCTCTGTTTCTCGTTCTATTTATCTTGTGGTGAAGTACGATTGGTTTCAAACGGTTGCTTCCAAGATGTCAATGCAATAATTCCAGCGTCGTCGTATAAATTGTGCTTGCAAATAACAAAGTCGGGCACTTTGTCGTCTGGACCAACCGCAACAATGCACACTAACGTGCTGAGTTGACCCGGCTTTGTACCTTGGGTGAAAGGGCTTTCAGAAATATGCCAACCAAAAGTTTGCGCGTGGCCAAATCAAAAGCTAGGCGCGGGCTCCCTGTCTGGGTTTCATGCCCAGATTCCTTTGGACCTGCCAGGAATGGCAAACCACACCAAATCCGTTGCCAAATCCCTGGATTCTCTGAAATTAACATGAACCCCAACGGAGGCTCCCGAAAAGGAGTAAGACTCCTCTCAAAATCATGGCTTTTTGGGGGTTGTGCTAACTTTCAGAAGAATATCCAGGAATTTGGCCAGTGCCCACTTTAGACATCCTTCTTGAAACGTCCAGGGTGGGAATGGCCCGCTTCCTCCGACCGGCCTGGAGTTCCACCTCCCTTCCCGGTCGCCACACCAGGCTGCACATCTCCTGAACCGGGGGGCTTCTGAGCCGCCCGGAGCGGTTCTCATGGCCAATGCGGACGTCCTAAGCCGAGGTATCCCCAACAGCTGCCGGAACCTTCTGAAACCCTCCGGAACTTTCCCTGAAAGCTAAACCACCCCAGAGATCGCCTATCTTCAGCTGTTGGGGGGAAAAAACAACGAGGCCATCGGACAAGCCGCCTCCAATGCGGGCCACGGGCAAATCTGCTCATGGCTAAAGCATCCATGGCCAGTGATGTTCAGAGGAAGGCACTTCGCAGGCCGTCTCAGAGAGAGAACATGAAAGGGGAGCCTCGAATGGTTGCTGAAGAGGCCGGCCACTTATTGACGGTGGTTGTTGGTTTTAGCTCTGCTGACAGGTTAGGTCCTGGATGCTAAGCGACAACTTGGTGGGCCAACCTGTGACCGGGGATACTTTTTGGGGAACCAAAGAAGGTCCAAAGATCAAGGCATTTCCACTGTGCTTTGGAGGTATGGATGCTCATAGACCACCAGTTTTTTTGGTGGCAAGGCAGTGCATATACCAGTAAAAAAAGCAAGTGGTACATCACCTCACCTCCAAAGCCCCTCTCCCTGAAAATCTGAAGATGGCTTGGAAAAACCTCACCTCCAAATCCCCTCTCACTGAAAAGAGACCTTCAAAAAGAGACCTCCTCTAACATCTGCCCATCTCCAACTCCCCACGATAGCGGTCCGGCGTGATGCCCAAACCCTCCACGTGTATTTGGCAAGACCTCGGCACGGCTGCAACGGCGTGGTCAGCCGACAAGCGGCGCCACCGGTTGCCTCTTTTGGAGCTGCACGGGCTATGTAGATGAATATCTAGGTCCTCCAGCAGAGAGGTTAGAATAAGGGTACCTTTTTTTCTGTAGTCTATTTTAGTAGGGGAACCCTCCCCAAAAAAAGGGTAAAAGGGCACTACTGGGGGACCTAGATATACACATGCCCGATGAGGCAGTGAGTAGAAAAGATAGATAGGATGAACTGATTGAGCTGGATTGATGTTCGTTCGATCGCTAGCTTAGAGCGGTTTTAGGGTGGAAGGCTTAGGGTTGGTTTGAGATGGGCTCAGGGGCGTATCCCCTCCCGTCTCTTCCCTTCCCTTCCCTTCCCCTTCTCTCTCTCTCTCTCTCTCTCTCTCTCTCTCGCTCTCTCCCCCCATCCCTCTCCCCCTCGATCCGAGGCATCTGCGCGGAGCTGCCAATGTAGACCTTGCACTGGGCCCCAAGGACTGGGGCAGGAAGCTCAAATGGAACCGGACCCTTTGGACAGAAGTAGGTGGGGTTGCATGTCAACCAGTGGTTGGGTGTTCTTTACATCGTCGTACTTGCACAAACCCCTCTCCACAAGCAATGTTTGCTTCCTTTTTTCCAAACGGGGTCTCACCGCGCCAGAACATCTGTGGCAGGGAATGCGCACCCCTAAATGACACTTTTTGTGAGTGATCCTCATGAGCCGTCATTTGGTGGGTTTCGCTCATATCATCGCCTTTGCTACGATAGACTATGATAATTCGCCATTGCTCAGCCAGCTGGACCCAGCTTGGAACAGATCGGACCTCTTTTGCGCTAGACAAGCAAAGAGAAACCAACCGTTTGAACAGATCCTTAGTCTTCGGAAAAAAAACTCCAAGATGTGTACATGATATGAATTCTCAACAAAATATGATTATTCAAGACGGATTAAGTCGTTAGAGCAAATCTGCACACTTGTGACACCGGTAGATCCACTCCAAGTTTGTGCGAGGGCAGGCGGGGGGGGGGCCGGAGCATCATCGAAGCCCAGGTTCAGCAGAATCAGAAGGGACGAATAAATGCTGATAGCGAGACCACTGTTAGATCACTCAGCAAGCCAGCCATGCAAGCCATCCAAAACAGGATTCATATTCGGATGGATTGCTTGTGGCTCAACGAATGCAGGCTCTCTGCGAGACATGTTTTACAGGTGTAAGTGCGTCGGCTGTGTGTTGAAGCCTGAAAATCAAGACAGGTAGGTCAGCGCCTAGGGAGCATCACCGGCCCCATCAGACCATCAGAGTTGAGAGACGCCAAAACTCGGCTCATGCCTATGATGCCCTCACTCGTCCCCAGAAGGGGCCATGGAGTTTCTCCGGAAGGACCCGCGCCGGATGATTGCCGGGCAGGGAGTAGCGCAGGCAGCCTGGGCCACTCCGCGACTCCGCGACCGAAACCTTTCGGAAGCCCCGAACCTGGCTCTTCCATCGTCCTCTGGACAAAGAATCACGGTTTTTCCGGTTGTGAAATCGATTCCCTCTAAAACAAGGGGAACGAAACAATCTTCATGCAGATGGACGTCGTGGAATCCCCTTTTTGTCGCTAGATCGAGCCTTCAAGGGTGCGGATGCACTGTGTGCCACATAACACACCCAGCGCGCATGGGCGCAGCGCAGGTGCCCCAAAGAAAGGAGCCCTTCGCTCGCCTGAAAGCAAGGGGTCATCGCAGATGTTCACGATGCACGGCTCCTGACTGGACTCGACTTGTCGGCAAGCGAGTCGAGAGCTTTACTCAAGTGTCATAAAATCGGAGACCCCTAAAATCTTTGGCTTCTTTATTGTCTCCCTTTGAAAACCAACCAAAAAGTGGTCCCCAAAATTCGGGTACATGGCATGGAGTGGTTGCCGTCTCAGGCCATGGACCAAAGTCCATGGCAAAACCGAGCGAGTCGCCGCCGGCATTGACTCGGTGGGTCTGCAGACAAGCAGCAAGAATGTGCTGCTACAAAGCCAGCTCAAGAGGGGCCCGCTGACACACATCCCCAGCGAACTTTTGCCACGGCTTCCGCCACCGAACTGCAACCATCAACCTGACCGACACCGGTGTTCACGCTGCGGTTGAGGGGCATTGTGCTTCTTGGCTGTGACATGCGACTCCCTCTAGTGGGTTTGAGTTTGTTTCTGGTTGAATCATGAAGTCGACAATTTCTTTGAGTTGTCTACCGCCATCTTCCGGTGCCATCTCCAAGAGCAGACAGTTCTGTGGGAAGACCTCGGAGACAAATTTGTACAGCACAGAGGAAGAAGCCTTGCGCCTTCGATGGCCCAGACCTTCCACCTGTGGCAGGGAGATTTGTTTGTCGCGTCGCGATGACCCAAGTACTGTCAGGAAGTCCCACCGTTTTCCAAGTATGGTCCCTTCTGCCTGTTCTTTTCTTCCTTCGTTGTCCTCTTTCTTTTGTCGTCAAGCACCTCGCATGCGAGCTACACCACCACCACCACCGCCGCCGCCGCGGCCGCCGCCACCACATGACAGTATGCCTACAGTCATGCTACCTCCCCCGAGGAATCCACATTGTTTGTCCGTACGCATGCATCTTCTACTTGGGGGAGCAAAGCCCGCCCAAATCACAGCCGTCCGCCCATCCGCATAAATGGCGCCGCGACCAAAGACCGGTCCTCCTCGTGCGAGCGAGACAGGCCTTAGCCGTGCCCCGCAAACGCCAGATGGATCTCCACGTCAAGCGCAGGCTGCTGAAACCCTCTGAGTTGGGCTTCCAAGTTGGTGGCTGCACGGCCCCTTCAATCAGCACAGTGCAGCGCACAGCTTGCCCAAAATTTGGCGGCCCCGAAATCACGACTCGCTGGGCATCCTTTTTTCGCGCCACCTTTCAAAGGGTTTGGTTGACAGCTCACATAAGATTTAGAGCCCTGTGGGTGCATCCATTTCGGGGATCACTGGTCACAAATCTGTGATGAACCCCCCGCCCCACCCACCGCTATTTCACCAGTAGGCCAACGCACAGTCCTCCCGATGAATCCGCCAGGCGTGTGAATCCGGGTCAACATTTGATGTTTCCAGCGTATACAGGATTGTGCATCCACTATATCCACTGCAAATAGGTATGAATCAAAACGGGACCCAACAAATGGCTGGTGTCCTGTTGCTTTGCCTTTCAAATGAACCAAAAGAGAGTCCCCAAAGAAAAACCCACCCTTATGACCAACCAGGCCTCTCACGAAAGGCCAAAAATCCAGGCGCGCGGCTTTCCCGGGACATGCTGGCGCTCCCTGACAGATCCATTCATGGGCCATTTCGCGGGTCTTTGGTCGATGTGGATTCGTTGCTCTCTGGTCCGTTTTCAGATCCCCTGCTAAAAGCTGAACTTTTAGGCGGTTCAATAAATCCCCACTAAAGCCTAAAAATATAAAAACTTAGCTGGGAACCACCAAGTCATGCTAGCACCGGATTCATAATAAACTCCTGGTTGATTGCTCGGGGATTAGTAGTGAAGCTTGCCCAAAATCCGTGCTCAAGGGTTGATGGCTCAGACTCATGCCACCCCCTCCCGGACAAACCAGGTGAGTCACAATCAAAACCTGGTACAAAAATGGTGAACCCAGAACCATGCAAAGAATTGAAAAGGTGGCCGAAACTACTTCCGGCTGGGACTGCCCCTTACTAACCTTCATCTACCCGGGCTTTGATTGTGGCTCAGGTGATTTGACCTCAAATCCATGAACTGCGCTCCAGCGGACCATGCCACGGCCTGCCTCCAGAAAACCGGCCGCGCGAGGTTTGCACGCCTCCGATCCGGAGGCATTCAAGACGCCGTTCCAGGTCATGCTCAAATGGGAGGTCGCGAAAACGACACCCTGGTGTCGCCTTGTGCCGCCTTCTCACACGAGACAACCAAACCATTCCCCCCCCCCAACTTCTCTATCGGATCAGCCGTGGAACCGAACTCAGCTAGCTCAGGCGATCCAAACAAAAAGCTTTCTCTAGGTCAAAGTCGTGAAAGAAAATCATTCCAAGGCCGCACAAGTGGAGCCTCAAGAGAAACAAGGGAACAGAATCCAACTCCTTGGATTCACGGCCCGGCATGTAACAAGCTCCCCAGACGACAATTCCAACCTCAAAGTAAGTTCACTTTTCAGCCACGGAAGTTCTGCCTCTCACTGACGGGTTCCCGTTTTTGAAGAAAAAACAAAAAGGGCGAAGGCAAGAGACGGGGAGAGGTAGCCGGGGTGTTGCCACGTAGCCTTTTTGTTTGGGGTCATCTCGGTTTTCTTTTTCTGGGTACCCTTTTCGCGCTTGGTGAACAGGATTGCACCCGGACCAAAATGGCCATGACACTGCACTATGTGGGCGTGCCTTTGATTGAAGGTACCCTTTTGTTGCGTTGGTTTAAAGGGAAGCCGAAAGGACCAATACCATGTTTGGGGTACTTCTATTTTGAGACACACCCAAGTCTGTCCAGGGAACCCTGGCCTCGAGCGGAGACCGGCTTTCCTTTCGCACCAGCTCCTGCGCGATCCAAAATGGGTCGCAGTTCTTTCCGGCAAAGCGAAGCCAAGAATGATGATTGAAAGCTGGGAGATGTCTTCAGGCGTTGATCCAACAGAACATCACCCCCCCCCCAGTTCCCGGGCGTTTGGCCATGTTTGAAATGAAGGATCGGATCAAGGACCCTCAAGGTACTTGGGATGTAGGGCACTGAACAGAACAGAAGGACACGAACAACTTAGGGAAGTGACCTGCATCGTGCCTTACCCGCTTTTGCTATGGGGAAAAGGGCTGCTTCCGAACCATCAAACATATTGCCCCACCAATTCAAGACCCATTCAAACCCGGCAGAAGGTCGGATACCCTCCCACCAATCAACATGGAACCTGACGTCCGGGGGGGGCCCTTCAAAAGGAAAATGGTCCAAACCAGGACGCCCCCCTTTCACGTCGAACGGTTCCACGTGAATTGCTGGCAGGCTCTTCCAAGAAAACCCCATCGAACTGGTCTCGAGACAGTCCCTTTCCCATGCTCCTGGCGCCAGGCCCAAACCTGAGAGAGTGAGCGGCTCGGTGTTTTTTTCTTGAGGCCACCCCCCCCACCCGCCCCACGCATTTGTGGGTTTTAAAAGGGACACCAAAAGGAGAACCCAAATTCGGAAGGGGGGGGGTCCAAATCCCGAAAAAAAACGAAGCCACCCAGCAAAGGAGATGTTGAAAACCACGAGAAAAAGGGACTGCTCTCCTTGGGGCCTTCTCATGCCCACATAGGCAACTTCAAATGCCTCATTACCAGTGTCTTGTTCTGGACCTCAGAAATGCGTGGGGATTTATGCATCCACCAAACAAGTTTGAGGGAAATTTCTCTGAAGGCTCATAGCCATTCGGGTGTGTCTTTTCTGAGGTTACCTTCTTGGGAGGGAAGTGTTGGGAAACCTATGCAGCAACCCAGTTTTCTGGCGGGTGTCACCCCAGCCCAAACCTGAATTCAGAGTTGGATCCCCACGCAAAGGACCTTTGTACCATGGCTTTCGCTCACTTGTCATACCCCCCCGGTTTTGTGAGCTCGCCCTAAAACCGGCAGATCCCCTCACCGCCTTCCGCCCTTCCGCCCCCTTCGGCCAGGGGGCTGGTGAGGAGCTGGCGCCGCTCGAACTCCAGTTCTCTGGACCGAGCCTCTTGTTCCTCCCAGCCTCGGAGTTCTCAGCGTTCGGAGGTGTCGAAGGAAGGAACCGACGCGTGTGGCTCGACCTTTTTGGAGTTGGTGCCACCCAATTTCGTGGACACACCCATTAGGGATGCCCAACTTTTTAGAGTTGGTGCCACCCCAATTTCGTGTTGGCCCGCTGGTCAAGGAAAACCAAAAGGCCCACCGACCCAGAAGACACACGTAAAAAAAGGGATGCCCAAACCCGGCATGGCCGGGAAACAGTCTCTCGAACAACGCCAGGCCCAGGATCTCGGGACAACGGCTTCGACGCCTCCTTTGGGTTTTTCGCCCACTTGTTGGTTGGTCGCGAAGGAAGGGACCGACAGGTTGCGTGTTTTGCCGTCCCAGGCTCCAACTCTGCAAAGCGATCATGGTTAAGTCAGTCGCGTAGCGCGGGCCCCGCGGCTTCCGGGGTCCTGAAAATCAGGATGACACCCTCCACAAAGGGCGGCTTTCTTTTCACTTCCACTCGCGCTGGTGTCGCTCGTTTTTGTCTCCCTTCAATCCCCAGTAGTGACTAGGGACCCCTCCAAATGGTTGCTGTCATATCCATTTGGAGCCACAAAGCCGCTTGTGCACAAATTTGTCTTTGGAGGACCTTTTGGGAGATGCTTCAGGCTAAATTGTTGGATTCTGACTCCCTTTTTCTGCTTTCATGTTGGCCTGCCAACCGAAATGGGATTCAAAAGGGGGTCCAACTGGCGGTAGGATGGGCCATACCGGGAGGGTCTCTTCGAAAACCAACAATGTTCCATTTGCTCGGAACCCAAGGCATTGATTTTGGCAGATCAACACCCAAGACCCGGTTCCCTCCCAAAACCCAAAAAATCAATACCCCCAAAACCCCCCAAAAAAAAACTTTCCTGGGCTCCAACACCCCCGAACACCTGGCTCCCCGTTGTCCTCGCCCCCCTAAGCCCCGGGCTGGACCCGTACAACTCCGCCAGCAGCTGCGCCGTGGTCACGCGGTCCGAGAGCTCTCGCCTCACAAAGACCCCAACATGCTCGGCTTCCCTGGAAATAGAAAGAAAGGGGAACTACACTGGTTTTCGAGCATGTTCCGGGAGTTTTTGGTGGAGGTCTTGGGCTCCGTTTTTGGGTTGCTCGGCTGATCGCCTCTCCTTGTCCTTGGCCTTTTCAGCGAGCGACGAGCCAGGATTCGATCTTGATGCAAGTGGAGGGCCAAGTTGCAGGGGAGGTTCGTTCCCCGAAGCTCAAAACCAGTGGCTGAACTGCCAGTGGAAGCAGCCAGCTACGAAGTGACAAACAAACCAGCAAGCCTAAGCCCGCCGAACCCACGCCCGGCCTCACTTCCGCGCTTTGCGAGGAGTTCAGCTCGCGATTTAGCCTCAGTCTCACCCGTTGGACTTCGGGTCCAAGCGATTGATCAATACACCAAACTGCTCGCCAATGTCCAAGTCCTCCCCCGTTCAAGGCGTTTGCAACAAAACCCAAAAAATGAAAGCCGTCCTTGGACCAGGAATGGTTGTGTGTGTGTGTGTGTTGGTGTTTGTGTGCGTGTTTGGTCGTGCTTGTCGTTGCAACGATTCCTTGGAAACCTGCGGGTTCTTGAGGGCCTCATGTGAGGAACACCCACAAACGCAACACGTCGGCAACTCGCACCCCGGTTTGAAGCATTGACCCGTCCGCCAACAGGCCTGGAAGCGCACTTCCATGATTGTTTCAGCGTAAGGCAAACCAATCCAAGCCAACAGAAACAAAAACTTGAAAAGGTCAACTCAACAAACAACATGAATAGATCTATATATATATATATGTATATTTGTACACACACACATATGTATCATCATGTGTATATATAAATATATTTATGTATTTCTATGGACCCTATGTTGGGGCCCATAACTCGCAACCTGGACGACCGCTCGCTGGTGACCCATTGCCACAGGCCCGTGCTGGTCCAGCTCCCGGCGCAATGCCATGGCCATCTCGTTCTTCGGCTCCTGAGCCATCCGGCTTCGCGCGGGGGGGGGGGGGGGGCCAGGGGGGGGGAGAGACCAACTGGGGGTGTGCTTGTGCGAGTTTTGTGCGATGTTTGTGCGATTTTCGTGCGCTTGTGCTTGTGTAATTAGTTTTGTGTTTGTTGATCCATATTCCGTCCAGACATGTCCCAAACACCTCACTGCCAAAGTCATGAGGCGAGAGCGTCGATTGAAAATTGATCAGTATTCCCTTCCGGAAGAAGTTTTGACGATGGACCGTGGGTCACTTTCCCCACGTGGGAAATCCTATCTTTTTGGTGGTTTCCCGCAATGGGGACGGTCTCCAATACTGTGGATGGATGGACGAAATCCGATCGCACTGTTCGAAATCATTGTTGCTTGGATTTGTTACAGGGGAATCATCATTTCAGGGTTTTTTGGGTGGTGCGCATTTTGGATCTGGTTCATTCGGTACCTCCAAAATGGCCGACTTTCCCAAACAGGCGTCCCTTTACATCAACCCCAACAGGGTATCCTACAGATCAACATGTCGTTTGAGGGAGTTCTTTTTGGGAGACCCCTTCTTGGGTTCCATGCTAATTTCTGCTTCCCTCCAAATAGTGAAAGCACTACACAAAGAGCAACCACTACAGCACTACAACAGGCATCGTGTTTTTGAGTTGGCTGGCTGAAAACGCAAATGACAAACTCCCCTCTGAAGTCCGAACGCCTGTTTTGACACCTACGTGGGGGTTCCGTTGCTTTGAGTTGGTATGGAGACACCACAACCAGTGAAACAATGATCCGAAAGGATCTTGCAGATCGATGTTGCACAACGGCGCGGTTTGCGAAGGTTGTTGTCCCCTTTTGAGGTTGGTGTCAATGGAAACCATGAGGAAAACCGAACTCCATTTTCGGGGGGGGGGGGGGCCTAATTTGACATGTACCCAGATGGCTGTCTTTTCTGAGTTGGTTCGATTTCTCGGGCTGGTTCTGCAGGGAAGGGCACACCGACCATGTTCCCGATTCCACAAACCCTCGTTTGTTGGGCGGGTGGCCCCCGAAGGGCGTGATGGCGGACGACACCATGCCTGTGGCTTGGAGCGGACGCACCGGGGATTGGCAAAAGCGAAGAGCGTCGCAAGGGAGCCATGATTCATCAGGACGAGTCACCTATTTCGCCACGGAAAGCAGCCTGACTCACACTGCCAGGGGTGGGGCTTGTGTTGCAATGACAACCAACATATGCATTCGATGTGCCATCACAAGCTGGGGGATGCGAACGTTGGCTCTCTATCCCAAATGGCTGGGCGGAAGGTTGAACTTCAACTTCCCGAGTGGGATCCGCAAATATTGGCCTCGTCTCGCAAAACAAAAAAACATGAAACACGAGAACCAGTGGGCTCCTCGTTGCGCGTAGGATGGGTGAAAACCTGAGCGCGGACTCAAAGCCGACGCGAGGGAAGAACACTCTGCTCATGGGAATCGTGTGTTGAGGGAAGACTTGCCTGGCACACAACCCAAGGAAGTGAACTTTGAGCTTTCATCTTTTGTTTCCAGTCAGCGCAAGATACAGACACCTAATAGAGTCAACTTCCGAGTGGCTTGGTTTGAACATGTCAGCTTCCGAATGGCCACAACCTGTTTGCTGAACATGTGGGTATCTTGTTGGTCCTCTTTGGCATCAATATTTGTTGGCTTAGCTTTGAACCTGCCTGAACGCTGGTCGGACATCTCAACACATCCCCATGTGTCTACATGCTCAGCCGCAGGCTTTTCGGCAGTTGGCAGCAAAGCGGAGCGCAGATTCGGTCGAAGCCTCACATATTCAAAAACGTTTTCGACACATTCGCATGTCCTCTGCCTCGAGCTCTATCACAACCATTTGCATGTATACTAATCCACGTGCAGATCCGCATTCTGACATACCACTTGTGTGCATTGAGCTACAACATCCCAGGTCCTTTTATCCTTCCGCTAGCTCCGGCTGGATCAATCTTTGCGATCAGCATCATCGCACCAGAAGCGGCGCCTGCGCAAAAGCAAGCCCAATGTGTCGCAAAGCCTTGGGAATTGGACTCCCCGGATTGTCGCAAAGCCAGTCCCATGGTGTCGACAAGGGGAAAAACCATCCACCCAAAGGGTTTAAAGCCGGTTCGCTGTCTTTTCTTGACGGCAGTTTTTGTCGGTTGCTTTCTGCTCCCCTGCTAAAAGTGACTAACTTTTGGTGGGTTACTGGAACTCGCACTAGTTAGCAAAAAGTTAAAGTCCTAACATCCAAACAAAATGCACCAAAGAAAGTGTCCATCCGTGTTATTTTCCTTCAAGACTCCCTAATGCGCATGCACGCGCACACGTACGCACCGCCACCCGCACCCGACACATGCACCCGACACACGAACACCCAGACAAACACACACACACACACACAGACAGACACGCAAACACAGACACGCAAACACAGACACGCAAACACAGACACAGACACAGACACACAAATACACACACTCACACACCCGCACACACACACACACACCAAAAACACACACACACACACACACGCACACCAAACATACACACACACACACACATGCGCTTGCGCACCCACGCACGCACGCACGCACGCACACACACACACACACACACACACACACACACACACACACACACACACGGCAGAGAACGGCATGGCACGGAACGGAACAGAACGGTACGCACGCACGCATTCTCGCACGCACACACGCATGCACAAAAACAAACAAACAAACAAACAAACAAACAAGCAAGCAAACAAACAAACAAACAAAACAAACTGACCAGCAAACCAGCAAACAAACAAATACACACGCACACACACACACACAAATGGACATTAATCGCTCGGATGACAAATTGGTGGTCCATTTTGGGGTGAGGACGCCCTTAAGAGGTGGCACAACGTGATGCCAAGGTGTCAAAAGGGCCCGCCAGTTTGGTCAACCCCTCATAGGATTAATCAGAATGGAGAAAATGTGCGCATACATATATATATATATATATACATTTCTATATATATATATACATACACATGTGTGTCCTTTCCTGTACGTGTACACATGTGTATGTACGTGCCTGTTCATGTACATGTGCGTATGATCGATATGTATGTCTCACATGCTATATGTATACATCACATACATGCGTATGCATATAAAATATATTTATGTATATACATAAATACATATAATCCCTTGTTTTTTATGCTCGAGAGAGCTAAAAACTATGGAAAAGCACGGCTTGTTTGCAGTCATTTTATGAAGAAAGAAGGAAAGGTAGTTCTGGGGGGGTGGGTGACCATATAATATATATATATATATATATATTCGTATGCAAAAAACATCGACAGAGGCATGTACGTGAGGCTCTTCGACGCCTTGGCGTACTCGCCCGGGTGAGTGATCCGGAAGACCACGGCGGCTATGAGACCTGCAAGATGCTTCCGAGGTCCGTGCCGCCCCCGTCAGTGCGAGACACAAGTTGCTCGGTGGCTTGTCTTTTTTTGGGGGGGGACCCTCCCTCAAAAAACATGGGTTATTTCCTGCTGGCGTGTGTTGAAACCACACAAGAAATGGTACCCTCAGAGAAAAATAACAATAATTAGTAAGGATCGCTGGCCTTGCTGCGCGGAAACTGCTGGCAAGTGAGGGCGTGTCTGACTGTCATGATGATGTTCCTCAATTTGTTGATACATATTGAGAGCGCTGTTCCATGCCCTCTGAAGCACACCAAGGATAAGCTCGGATGCGCCAGGGCCAGATGCGGTTGAACAGGTAGACCCGACCATGTACATCTGCTGTGTTCCATGAATGCAATGAAGAGAGGGGTTCCACAAACCGTTTTCTGCACAGCGAACAAGAAATGGAGCCGCGATCAGGAGAATCCACCTTTTTGCGGGAGCTTCCCAAAACAGGGGGGGACAGCAAATGATTTGCTTCCTCCCTTTCAAGCACATTCACGTGTCCATCCTCAATTTCAGCACACACACACAGACATCGCATCTAATCACCGCCCTGCATCAGAATCTGCCGTTTGCAGTTGTCCATAGCCGGGCATCAATCAAATGGCTGTGGGTCAAACAAAGGCCCAAATCGGAACCCAGGCAAATGGAAACAAGGACAAAAGCGGCGGGTCCCCAAATTTACTTTTGACCCACACCCACATGGCCAACTTTCGATCCGCAGTAAAAGCCCCTGAGAGATTCCAGCCAATCCGACGGCAGCTAGCCTCCATCCAGTACTTCCTAGCAGGGGAAACCCAAGACCTAGGGGTTGAGTTTTCTGGTGAAATGAACTAAACACCTAGCCAACAACCTCCTACTTTACCCCATGAAAAAACACTCATGTGTCCGCAACTTGGGTCATTCTGGGATTCCACTCTTCAAGTTTGACCCCCCGGTTCGGCCTCCCGCACATTGAAAGGCACTCAGCTGCACACACAGCGCCAGGGACATGCACGCCTCCTGGCCGGAGCCAAGTTGCGCTCAGAGTCGCTCAAGGCGGAAAAATTGGATCTCATGTTGGTTGCCGGGGAGCTCGAATCTTCCCTTGTCTTTGAAGAGAAAGAGCCAAAATACATCCAACGCCAGTTGGCTTCGGAAGAAAAGGAAACCCTGCGACAAACTTTCAGGTTCCTCAATTTCATAGCAATTTGAGATGAGAGCTGTATATACATATATTATGTATATATATATATATACATATGTATATATATATATATACATGCACACACGGGTTGCAATGCGCTTGAGGCTGATTCCCGATCAGCCAGAGCGCAGTATCAACCCCCGCGTCCAGAGACGCAGACACATAGGGTACCCACAACCCACCCAACTCATTGAGCGGCAAAACCCTCCCGAGACAAGATCGGGAATCAGCCTCAGGCGCATTTAAACCTGTGTTTGCATATGTACATATATATATATATATAATACATACATATGTATATACAGCTCTTAGTCTCGTCTCAAATTGCTATGAAATTGAGGCATCTTGAGAACCACAGCTTTCAACTCCAACTAAACCTGGTCATTGTGCCTTGGCCTACCAGTTCCAATGAAACGCCCACATCCGACCATTGATGGTTCTACCAAGATTCTCAAGGTTTTTGTTGGTGCGAATCTTTAGGTATCCTTTTGGTTGATATTTTAGGGGATGTGCGCTCGACCTAAGTCATAGCCATCTGGCCCTGGCTTCAGCCGGGGCCCCGCACCCGCACGGAATGCAGCTCCGCCAGGTTTAGCATCCACACGCCCACCTCGTGCCATCCAGACAGAAGTATGGGGTCAAAATTAAACCACCAGGGGGCCGCAGGTTTTAGTCCATATTTCCATCTACCAGGGTTCTATTTTGGGTACCTATTGTTGACCCACAGCCACATGTTGCAAGAGGTGTTGGGTCGAAAGCAAAGGGTTGGATCGTGAGATCGCTTGGCAACAGATATTAATTCACAGCCACAGCTCCACCAGAAACAATTCGCAACACGGTACAGTGAACACAAAGATGTACCGGGGGCCAGGCTCAAGGCAACATGGGTGCATACTTGCATGACTATCCGCCATATAGTAGGTTGTGACCTGTAGAGTTCTAGGAATTTGGACTAATGTCAAGCAACACCCCCGACGCCGCCTATCCGAAGAAGTACCCGATTGCTTTGCTTATGCAAACTGCGAACAGAACAAGCAGCCAAGCAAACACGTCCGACGGAAAGAAATCGGCTTCCCCAACAACGCCCTGTTTTCAAAATCCAGACTCAGGAAACAGAAAACCACTCATGCGTGGCTCAAAACTCACCCAGGGCAAGTTGGGGCCACAAGATCACACAGGCCCTCCCACTGAGGCTCCGGGCCGAAACGGCGGGGTTGAGCATACCCCCAGACACTGGGCCCACAGCGCAGCCCCCTGTCATCACGCAGAAGCCCTCTGCCAAGCCGAAGTAGAAGTTCTGGCCGACAAAGGTGTGAACTGTTGCCCTTGATGTCAGCTGTTGCTGGTGATGCTGCTGCAGTTGCTGTTGATGTTGCCGTTGCCGTTGCCCCTTGCCGCTGCTGCTGCAACTGTTGTTGCTGTTCTCGCTGTTGTTGCTGCTGTTGTTGTTGTTGCTGTTGCTGTTGCTGTCGCTGTTGCTGTTGCTGTTGCTGTTGCTGTTGCTGTTGCTGTTGCTGTTGCTGTTGCTGTTGCTGTTGCTGTTGCTGTTGTTGCTGTTGTTGCTGTTGTTGCTGTTGTTGCTGTTGTTGCTGTTGTTGCTGTTGTTGCTGTTGTTGCTGTTGTTGCTGTTGTTGCTGTTGTTGCTGTTGTTGCTGTTGTTGCTGTTGTTGCTGTTGTTGCTGTTGTTGTTGCTGTGCTGTTGCTGTTGCTGCTGCTGTTGTTGTTGTTGTTGTTGTTGTTGTTGTTGTTGTTGTTGTTGTTGTTGTTGTTGTTGTTGTCGTTGTTGTTGTTGTTGTTGGTGGTGGTGGTGGTGGTGGTGTTGTTGTGTTGTTGTGTTGTTGTGTTGTTGTTGTTGTTGTTGTTGTTGTTGTTGTTGTTGTTGTTGTTGTTGTTGTTGTTGCTGTTGCTGTAGCTGTTGCTGTTGCTGTTGCTGTTGCTGTTGTTGTTGTTGTGTTGTTTGTTGTTGTTGTTGTTCTTGTTGTTCTTGTTGTTCTTGTTGCTTGTTGTTCTTGTTGTTCTTGTTGTTCTTGTTGTTCTTGTTGTTCTTGTTGTTCGTGTTGTTCTTGTTGTTCTTGTTGTTCTTGTTGTTCTTGTTGTTCTTGTTGTTCTTGTTGTTCTTGTTGTTCTTGTTGTTCTT